CTTATAAGTAATATAAGAATTAATATAAAATAATTATTATAATTTGTTGTAAATTAATTGTATTATATTTCAATATTTTCAAAAAAAAATTTGAAAAAGAAGAAACTTTTGGTAAGTTTTAGAACTATTAAAAATATAGGCAGACACGTGTACATATCTAAAATTATTAATATGAAAACCTAATCGAAACCACAAAGTTCACACAAAATAAATTTTCTTTTTAGAAACGCCAATTATGACAAATAATTATTTCTCTCAATCCTATAATCCTAATTTCTATCCTAGTTTTATTTTTACAGCTTTTTTTATTACAAATACTGAATATCTGTGTTAAATTCATTCGTCAGTCCAGATTTGCGGTTCTCTATTATGAATACTTATGAATACTGAATATTTGTGGATTCAATATACGGATCGTGGGAGAAATAACACGGTCATAGAGATTCATAGAGAATCAAATCACGCAATCAAAATTTAGGCGAGTACAATTATTAAAAAAATAAAATGACGCGCAAGAGGATTACGCGATAAGCACCAAGAATAGTTGTATCTGAAATTCTTCGAATGCAAAATTACTAATGTGTAGGAAGTGTATTTAACAGTTTTCAAAAGCGTTTCAATTATATTTCACAAGTTCATGATGGTTGATTTCGAGAACATATATTACTGCGTGCAACCAAAAAGTCGAACTGACAGCTCTTACAATATTTACTCTCACAAGAGTTTTAGTTCATACACATACAGAGTGTCCCACCTCTACCGGATTTCCTTTTAAGGACGTGTTCCTAAGATCATTTTGAGACGAAAATCCTAATACAAAAATGTCGAGGCTATAATACTCTTCAAATTATAAACGATTTAAGTTAACCAATATTAGCGGCTGAAATTCGCGCGCTCAGGCACGGTACATCCGATGGCTCCTTTTTCACATATCAATACACGAAACTAACTTCGTGACTAACTAACCTAATGACTATAACTAACTTAATATATAATAAAATAATACTTAAACTTTATAGAAACATTATGTTAATAAATTTAAATAATAAGTTTGTTTAAATATTAAAATTTAAAATATAAAATTTAAAAATTCACGATATTTTGCCTATACGAGCCTACGGCGAAATTCTTTATTTTTTCACACCCCGATAACGGCGTAGGCAAAATATCATGAATTATTTAGGGCTATAGTATACTTTTCTATAAAGTTTAAGTATTATTTATTAAGTCAGTTATAGTCATTAGGTTCGTTAGTCACGAAATTAGTTTCGTGTATTGATATGTAAAAAAGGAGCCATCGGATGTACCGTGCCTGAGCGCGCGAATTTCAGCCGCTAATATTGGTTAACTTTAAATCGTTTATAATTTGAAAAGTATTATAGCCTCGACATTTTTGTATTAGGATTTTCGTCTCAAAATTATCTCAGGAGCACATTCTTAAAAGGAAATCCGGTAGAGGTGGGACACCGTGTATATTTGTTTGTGTACGCGCTAATAAAAGAAACGAGATTTTCTCTGCAAAACTGCAGTGTTTAAATTCCTTTCATTCTGTTCACTTCCTCGTTACAAAATAAACAACCATTCAGCTTCAGCAACTTGTCGATTGTTATCCTATATGCTTTCGAAGTTTTGCGTTTCTTTTTTTTTTTTGTTTTGTTCCTCCGGAGGATCCTCGCGCGGACTTACCGAACTTTTCTTGTTAAATAATTCCCACGATTCGACTTTCCGATCACGCGCGAGTGCCGCGATCGTCGCGATATCCAGATATGCTCTTGGAGGGCCGTCGAGAGCTCCGCGCGGAAACAAGAGCGAGCCCGCGCGACGCAATCGACGGGAGCCGCGCCGTGAAATTGCCGCGAGAGATCGAGACTTAAACGTCGGAGCGCCAGGTCGATAGGCGGGCTGCTGCACGCCGCGCCGCGCCGTTACGCCCGGTATGCCCCATTTACCCCGATAGCTGCGAATACGTGTATTATAGCGCCGCTTCGAAACTCGTCCCTCGCGGTGGTCGCCCTCCACCTGCAAACGACAATCCCTCGCGATGTAACGACTCGCGTTCCTCTCTCCGGGGGCGCGCAGGCTGCAACCGCGCTACGAGTGGCGGAGCGGAGTGGGGAAGGGAGGGGAAGGGGGAGGGAGGTTAAGGGTGGAGTATGGCAGGAATTTCGCGAAACGCTCCTTGGAGTTGTAGACACCCGTCTTCGCTGAATTTCCAGCGTGGGAAATGTACTCGATATTCCTCGCGGTTTTCTCGTCGGCGGGTTTTTCCTCTTCTTTTGGAATAAATTTGAATTATAGACGAGACTGTTGCACCGGTTAGAACGAGACGTACTCGTTTCTTAATCCTTTTTCCTCCTGGCCGTGGCATGTTTCGAGGCTGCTGGGCTTTATCACGTGATGGTCGTAATGGATCGAAGATTTATGAAAAATAGTGTCGAAACGAAGCAATTGATTTATTACTCAAACTGGAGTACCATAACACAGAATCGAGATACGAAACGAATATTTGTGTTTATAAAATTCATATTAGTGTCTTATTTTTCTTGAAGCTTAATGCCCAACGAATTCAGAAGTCTTTCCGCGCAATAATTTTAGTGATTGATTCATCAGGCATGTTTTAATAGCTGCGTTCAGCAGAAAAAGCGATTTTACAACTGTTGTAAAATTCTTTAATATGATTGGTTTATACATTTAGATCCACGAAGAACTGAAGGCAAGAACGAATCATGTTGAAGAATTTCGCAACAGTTGCAAAACTACTTTCTCTGCTGAACGCAGCCAATATGTTGTCTGTATGCACTGTAAAAAAAAAGGTAACATGTAAAATTATAACAATTATATATAAATAATTTTAACATCCACTATTAAAAGAGTATACTTGAGCTTACTTCACCTCAGCATACAATAATCATAAAAATTCCTACTAGATATTGAAATTTTTATATAAATTTCAATATTACATAAAAATTAACTATAATTCCACTTTGCGATAATCTATAAGTTTTACTTTTCTATTTGCTATAGGAGGTCTAACTGGAATTATACTCTCTAATTCATCCCTTGATATTATTCTTCACGATATGTACTATGTAGTGGCTCATTTCCATTATGTCGTCTTTATGGATGCTGTTTCTGCTATTATTGCGAGATTTATATTCATTGATTTCTTATAATTTTAAGGTTTACTTTAAATAATTTTTTACCTTAATATCCAATTTTCATCTATATTTATCGAAGTAAATTTAATGTTTCTTTCCTCAACATTTTCTTGACCTAAACGGTCTCGACAATATCTGATTATCCAGACTTCTTCATGAAATATTATCTTCTCAATTGGATCTTTAATTTCTATATTAAGTTTAACACTCCTAATATTTATTATTTAAAAAACCTTAATTAAACGAAAAATTATTAACATATTTAACATATCTAAACGAAAAATTATTAACATACCTTTCTAAAATTATTAAAATGACAAAACTCTTATCCATCTTTTAATCATATAATGAAATTCCCTTTATTTAATTTTTAATACGGCAGAATAAATGCAATGAATTTAAACTTCATTTATAAAGTAAATCTTTCATTAAAAATTAAAATACATGACTAATTTCTTTACAGAATTCTAATTTATCACCTACATCTTCGTAAGTTAAAAGGAATTATAAATACAGTTATTTTTTTTATAATATAATTAAATAATTTGTAAAAATAAAATTTACAATTGAAGTTAAGTTTATATAAATATTTACTTAATAATGCTGCATTTACTAACAACTTTGAATTGACATATTAATATTGAATTAGAAAATGCATTAATGCATTAATTTAATTAAATTTATTTTTTCTTTTTTTAAATTTATTGCAAATAAGTTGCAAATAAATTATATACAATTTTTTTTACATTACAATTTTTTTATTAATCTGTTTACGAAAACTTCGGTTATTGTTTCGGAAGTTTAATCTAGCAAAGGTATTTCCATATGTTAAGTTTTGTTAGTTGATTTTATTAGAATTTACTCGTTATCTCTTTATTATCGATATATACGAACGTAAACATCTAAATATAATATGTCTAATATTATTATGTTAAATAATGTTATAAAAATTCGTACATTTACATAAAAAATATAAAATATATCAAATTATCTTCAAAATTTTTTGTCCAATATAAAGATATATTTACACAATTAGGGGTAAAAGTAGGTTACTAATTTTTGTAAAACTGCACAAAATTTTAACTATTTCTACTATAAATTGTGCAACTTTTATAGTGTGTCACATTGATCAAAACTTTCAGATCAGATCGCTCGGTTCGCACAATTACTGCTCGTAATTAATTCTACTCAACGATTGTAAACCTGTTACGAAACGGCGCAACATACGAACACAGCAGATCAAATTTAACATAATATTTCAATTTTACTTCTTTTTAACTAAAATTATCTTTCATGTAAAGGAATTAATGGAATTTGTTAATTTGATATATTAATATGCTAATTCAATATCAATATAGCAATTCAGTCTACAGAATGCATACCCGATAAATTAAAAATACGACACGGAAAATCAACTTTGTGTCGACGAAATCTTAAGTGGAGGAAGTTGCGATAGATAAATCGCGATATTCATGATAGATATCGTCCCGCCATTCGCTCTCGGCGCTCGTAAAAATACTCCCGATCAATTATTCCTGCATTTACGATTTTTACTCGTAGCTCGAGACACGTGAAAAAATAGTAAGACGTAAAAGTCACACTTTAGCACCCTAATAAGGCTGCTATAAATTGCCATCGATTCCAAGAACGGGGTTGCGGCAGCGACGGGCGGACAGCTGCTGCGCCGTTATCGAGTTTCTCTTCTTTCCCTAGGAAACGCGATGTAGAAGAACATTTAAAAATAACGCGCTTAAAATGCGCGGCGTCGCGGATGCACAAATGAGTCGCGGACACCTCCTCATCCTCAATGACTATATCTAAAAACGTGTTCTCTTGTTTCAGGATCTCCGCGCCGTTCCAAGTGGTCGCCGCGGTTCTGATCTTCGCCGCGACGATGTCGGCTATGATCGGCCATTGTTATTCCGATCACAAGACCCTCGTAGCCTGCGGACTCTTCCTTCTGAGCGGTAAATACGTCATCGAACTTCCTTAACCGCGTACCTATATAACTTTAACTTCGAATTTCGCACCACGAGTCAACGTTGGATACTCGAAGCTTCTATTTGGTCACACAACTGTTATTCTAATGGGATTTTTTAAATTAATATTAATTAGTGATCACAATTGAAGAAATTTAAGAGTAAAAATAGTAATTCCTCTAAAATTAACATTTATATATTAGGATTTTATAAGGAAATTTAAAAAAATCTGATTAAAAGAATTATAAAAATGACTTACCGAAACGCAAAATTTCATACAAGTAACGTTCCTCATTGGGCCGCCTTCAATTTGGCTCATATAGAGTCTTTTATTTAGTATTTGTTTGAAAATCTCTGAATGCACGAATATTTATTACAGACCAAACATTTTTTCATATTTAATTGACACGTAAAAAGCCGCAGAGTTATTCATTAACTTGCGATGAAAATAACGTGCCAAAAACGTCCCGTAAAATGTCAATAAATATTCGGATTCAGTCCTTAAATCTAATTCGCTAGAATTCACCGTCGTACGAGGCTACCCGAGAGAAAACCCTTTTTCTCTTGTCAGCCATTCTCTGCGCTCCATCGCGCCGTATAAACGATCAAAGTAAAGACGAGTGGACTGCCGATAGTCCCGATCAGTGTGCATTGTCCGCGTGGCACAAGGAATCCACCATTGTTAAAATCCGCGTGATCTAAAAGGCTCGCGTGTCGTTTATATCACACAAGTCGCGCAATTCTCGGGGTGATCAACGGCCATTGTTGGCCTCTCGCTGGCGAGGATGTGTACCCGATACACATCCGAGGATCAATCGATCCCACGTGACCAGAGAACGAGCTGGTTTACTTCATATAAAAGAAGGTGGAAAAAAGCCATCGCGTTTCTTCCGTTTTTTCATCATCTCCTATTTCTTAATTCGTTCGCGAAATAAGCACGCGTTTGAAGACGCGAGAATCCGATCAGTAGAGAATTTTTTTTTAATTTTAAGGCGATGCTGGAAGGTCGGAATTGCCGACACATTGCAGTCGTAAGGATTTCTTCGATATGATAGAACGGAATTGACAACCCTTTTACAGGATTGAAATAGACATCAAATGTATTGGGGGGACGAAGCAATTTGTAGACAAAACGAAAAAAAATTAAAAAATTACATTTTTTCGGATCGTACAGCTGTCACTTGACGTAAACATTTCATTAGTGTAGAAGTTCTGTAGCTCATATGTACAAAATGCTTACGTCTCCCGATTCGGATTACATGAGCAAATAATACAAAGTCTTTTGAGCGGCGATTGAAAGCCTATAAGAAAAAAGAAATCTTTACGACTATAATTTATGGTAATTCATACGCTTAGCTAAAGTAAAGACAGCAGAAAATGTGATTAGCAGTAAGTGTCGGATTTTGCAACAGATATATGGCACTTCAATAAGTTAGATAAGGACATTGCACGTGTTTGAGTAAAACAAAAGATATTGTAAGAAGTTCATTTAGAAATACTACTGACACCGAAGAGTGTGTTTTATCGATCTTGTGCAAATTTTTCCAACCTTCCAGCATCGCCTTAAGGGGGTATTCTAGTCTAGAGACCAAATTTTTGCCTCTAAAAATGCTATTTTTGCGAATTTTTTTAAAAAAAAGTATAAAGTTTTTTGGGACGGGGTTTTTTCCTATATATTTATACATATTTGAAGGATGTTTCAAAATATTTGTATTTGAAAATAACTATAAATAAGCGCTGTATACAATATATACTGAGGTCATGAAAAAAAAAGATTGGTCCACGGTACTCATAATTCCGGTTGTTCTGCTTATTTAAAACAAAAAAATTAAAGAAATTCTTAATTAGTATAAATTTGGCTATAGCTGGTACCAGAACATAAATAAAATATTAAAAATTTAAAAATTGACATTATTTTAAAAGTTAATTTTAGATTTTTACCATTTTTTTCAACTTTAAAGGGTTGTAAAAATAAAAAAAAACATATTTTGACTTGATCGAGGTAGGGGTTACAGCCACGAATATGCTGAAGATGTGTGGACAAACCCGAATTGATTGGTCAATTGGTTTTCGAGATATTATGGGTACCAATTTGAAAAACGTGGTTTCGAGAAAAATGGGTTTAAAGTTTTTTGTACATGATTTATAGATTGAGACCACTCTTTATCAAGTGCTATGGCCGGTATTCATAAGTCGATTTTTATTTCAAAGTCGTCTTAAGTAATGTCTTAAGATTCTAATACGGCTCTGTTATTGGCTTGTAACATCTTAAGACTATACTTAAGACGATCTCAAATATAAGAATCGATTACGAGTACCGGACTATAATTTTTTTAATTTTGCGAATCGGGTTAAATCCTTTTGCAGACGTATTTTCCATATCAAATACTTGCAAAATATGTAAAAAAAATCGATTTTTCCGATCCGCTAGACTAGAATACCCCCTTAATTTTGACAAATTTTTAAATTTTTAGAAATCGCAAAGAAATGTCAAAAGTTATATATTAAACGTTACGTTTTGTTACCTTTGGTCACGCGACTTTCAGTTTAATTTGTTTCCTCGCCATCACTTCACACATTCAGCTCTAAATGTTAAACATTTCTATCGGTTTTGTAATAACGATCCATTACGATAGGAGCGCACGTACCTATATTTGGCAGCTCGCGACCTACCTCTACTTCCCCCGACGACTCAATTCTCGGGGGTGATGTCTCCATTCACGGCGAGATGCACACGTTCGCGTTGTAAAGGGGGGGTGGAAATGATCTATCTGCCTCCGTGGTTATAGGGATCCTGCGGCGGATTATACGGTTGAGATCGGGACGCGCAGCCAGTCGCCGAGGTACGGCGGTGTCTTTCCCATTTCCAACCCTTTCAGAACGTCGCCCCGACCCTCCGGTATATTTTACCCCTCTCCCTCTCCCCCAGTTTCGCGTCCCTCCTTCCTTTTTCTCATCCGGCAGGTGAGTCGATATCATGCGCGCGGCATGATTCAAACGAAATCGAAATTCGGAGCAAGAGTGACGTGGGGAATCGAAAGGGGAATGAGAATAGGTGAGGTAATATCGTCGCGTGGAGCTCGAATTGATTTCTTCACGGAGGGAGAGATGGAGGGGGGGAGGAGGTTTTCAACATTTTAATAAAAACCACCCGTGGTTTTGTCGTCCGTGCCGATGAAGGATAGCGTTGCATATATGAGGGTAAAGTGGCGTCACGTGGACCGCGCCACTTTCTTCCTCCGGGGAAGCGGAAAACATTCTTTCAAAATATAGCAAACATTTTTTTGCAATCCTTCCTTTCTCTATGCGCCATTAATTGTGCCCGTAGACCTAAAACGCTCACACCACTACTTATTTTAATGGCGTATTCTGGATATTGAAATGAAATAGGAAATCATGGCGCGAGAGAAAATACCGTTTTAAAAAATAAGCGTGAAATTTTCGTATGAAATCTGTTACGTGTCAAACGTAAACACATACATCGATTTGCATATTGCTAATCAGGAGACATGGTAGTGGCTTATTGGTGTCAAGTGTTTAAATAAAAAAATTATATTAAAAAAATATAAATAAAATTATATATACATATTAATATATGTAATATGTATATGTATGTGTATGTATACAGGATGTTTCAGAAATAGTTGGCCGAACTTTAAGAGCATATTCCACTCATTATAAGATGATGAAAAAAGTCATATAAACATGGGTTCGGAAATGCTTCCTTTTCAAGTTGTAAACATTTTTAAAATTTGAAAAAGTATACACTGTTGCAAATACCACTGAGCAAAAATTTCTCATGATGGATAATCCGCTGGTAAGAGAGCTTGTATTCTTTGTATGTGATAGGGATACAAAAGAGCTTCGTTTAATATCCTCCACACAGTTGAGGATGAAACGTTTTGCATTTCTAATGCGATCTGTCTGGTGCTAAGAAAGTCTTAAATAAAGACTGATTCCAAATCCATACAGACCTACCTAATAACCTTTTGTTCACTTTAGAAGGTGAATGGAAGTACAATTCATGAAACGTCGAAACGAGGCATGTCGTCCAACATAAATACAATGTAAATAAGAAATGTTTATAACTAGGACAGGAAGCGTTTCCGAACCCATGTTTATATGACGTTTTTCATCCTTATAATGAGTGGAATATGCTCTTAAAGTTTGGCCAACTATGGTATTTCTGAAACACCCTGTACAGAATGTGTGCCAAGCCATGCCGGGTCTCTTCAACGCGAGCCGCGTCGCGTTGCGAGCACCCGCGAGATTATGATATCTCAATAACGATCGGTTCGACCCAAGCTGTCGATTAAGCCTATTTGGAACTTAATCGGTTCGATTAAATTTCAAGTAGGTAGTTAATCGACAGCTTGGGCTCGATTTGTGTAATGAGTGTTTTTATTTTTTTCGTCTACGTGCCCTACGAGCGGAGATATTTGCAATGCAAAGTCCGAAATGTGGGAATTTAAGATTAAAAACCGTTCATCATGTTATATGACGCGCGGCGAGAGAAATTATTCCAAGTATATGTACTTTAAAACAATCTTTTACGCGAATGCGCTTATATATTAGAGATCCCTGTTATACGCTGCCAAGTGCACCGAGTTACTACTGTGTGGATACGACATATGATCTACGACGAGCCTTACATGTGTAAATTGCAATTACATTAACGGTGTGCTGGAAAATCACGTTCTCTGCACAATCAGTACGTAGATAAAACAGACGAGGGGCGATGCTGAACACAGGTCGATTGAACACGATTATTTTCAGATCAACCGATCTTTTTATTGATTTCACAGAATTATAAATCTTTTTTCAAAATTAAAATATTATTAAAAAAGACGAAAAAATTAAAGAATTGTCGGCTTCTACAGTTCGGCTCGTGATAATTAACATGTGCTGTGTATAAAAGTTTTAGGCTTTGTACGTATAATAAAATAAGTAGTCATGGTTCAAATTACATAAAAGAATGGTACTGTGCT